TAAAGATTCTCCTGGAGGTCAACTCATTTGGAATTTCCATTTTGCGGTACAACCTGTTCTTCTTCAAATGAGGGCTATTCATTCTGAGTAACACAAGTAGCTGTCTCAGCCCAAAGTACTCATTCAGGTTTTCAAATCTTAGGCTTATTAGTACAAGAAAAAGGCATGCAGTTGTGGAATGCTATCGGTAAGCTACAGCTGCAGAAGATCATGGCATCCAGTACCAAAAGCAAGAGAAGGAACATTCTCAGCAACTGAAAGTATAGATGTCATATTTCCAAAGCCTCTCTTTACAACATAGAACAAGGAAAAACAATACTTAAAAGGGTTTGAGGCACAATCACTTCACCAAAAACTTTTAGTGTGGTTCTACCATATTCTGTAACCAAGAGGGGAAAAGCTTTGAATGTTTTGTTTGCTTTTGAGTCAGAGTCTCACTCTGTTGCCCAGGCTGTAGTGCAATGGCACGCTCAAGGCCACCACAGCCTCGATCTGCTGGGCTCAGGCATTCCTTCTGCCTCAGCCTTCCAAGTAGCTCGAACTACAAGCGTAAGCCACCACACCTGGCTTATTTTTTGATTTCTTATTGTAGACACGAGGTCTCACCAAGTTGCACAGTCTGGTCTCAAACCCCTGAGCTTAGGCAGTCCTCTCACCTCGGCCTCCCAAAGTGCCAGGATTACATGCTTGAGCCACGGCACCCAGCCAGCTTTGAATTTTTTAAAGACATAAAACAAACAAAAACATACTAATTTCAGTAAACAATACCTGTCATTAAATGTACTTCAATTGCCTGAGCCTGCAGGTTCAAGACCTGCCTGGGCACCTTGGTGAGACCTCATCTCTACAATAAATCAAAAATCAGCAGGGCGTGGTAGTGCATGCCTGTAGTTCCAGCTACTTGGACGGTTGAGGCAGAAGGATCACCGGAGCCCAGCAGGTCGAGGCTGTGGTGGCCAGGAGCGGCCACTGTACTCCAGGCCGGGCAACAGAGACTCCAACTCAAAAAAAAAAAAATGTACTTCAATATTTTCCATCTCTCAGGAAACAGAATTTTATAATTAAAATATCTTTTCAGGGGGGTGAGGAAGAAAAAAAAATTTTTTTTAAATAAATTAAATAAAATACCTTTTCAGGCTAGCCACAGTGGCTCATGCCTGTAATCTGATTACTTTGGGCCAAGGTGGGGGATCGCTTGAACCCAGGAGTTCGAGACCAGCCTGGACAATATAGCGAAAACTCCTCTCTACAAAAAAAAAATCAAAAAATTAGACAGGGTCTGGTGGCACATGCCTGTAGTCCCAGCTACTCAAGGTGCTGAGATGGAAGGACTGCCTGACCCAGAGGGTGGAGGATGCCATGAACTGAACTGTGATCGTTGTGATCATGTCACTGCACTACAGCCTAGGTGAGTGAGACCTCAACTCACAAAAATAAATAAAATACCTTTTCAACCTTTAACAGTAAAGCAATCATGAAAACATTACTTCATAATATACTTTGTGCCTTGGCTTTACAAAATACATTCCAGAGTTGTCTACAAATGAACAACGTAAAAATCACTTATTGCAGAAAAACCAAAATAAGAGAAAAAACATTGTTTTAAGTTAGATTTGCTCAAGGTAAACATGTAAGGATCATGTATACTTCCATTTATATTATCAAAAGATTCTGAAGATAAACATCATATGGTATAAATGGAGATTCTGGATTCACTTTAGAAAAAATGATTGATGTACAATACACAATATATATTTTTTTTGAGTCAGAGTCTCACAATGTCGCCCAGGCTGGAGTGCAATGGCATGCTCATGGCCACCACAGCCTTGACCTGCTGGGCTCAGGCAATCCTTCCTGCTGGGCTCAGGCAATCCTTCCAAGTAGCTGGAACTACAGGCATTTGCCACCATGCCCAGCTAATTTTTTGATTTTCTGTAGAGACATCTCATCCAGTTGCCCAGGCTGGTCTTAAACCCCTGGGCTAAGATAATCCTCTCGCCTTTGCCTCCCAAAGTGCTGGGATCACAGGCGTGAGCCACCATGTCCAACCCGATGTACGGTACTTATATAATCACTTTAATTAACTATAGATAACATTTACTTCAACTACAGGTAATAAAGTATAACTTCAAATCAAAAATGCAAAAAGTACTGGTTCGATTTGCAACCTCAAAAGGGAAGTTAAGAATCCAAAATTTTTTTCTTCTCAGAAAAAAAATTAATAAGGAAAATTATGAGTTAAACTTTTAAGTTGCAATGCCTTATATCACATCATATTTAAATGAGTTAACTTTAGACTTGTTTTTCTTGTTTTTAAAAAGACCTTCAAAGATAACAATGATATTGTTGAAAAAGTGAATGTCATACACTGAAACTAATCATTATAACAAATCTTCAATTTATTTGAAGCAATTCAATTTCAAAAACTTTTAAGTTACAGCAGTCACAGAAAAAACAGGGAACGGTCAGAAACAATAAAATAATAATCAGGAGTGCTGCATTTTTTTTTTGTTTGTTTTTAACACTGTCATGGCTTTATTCAAAACACAGTTACACAAAAGTATTAACTTCAAAGTTTTTAAGGAGAGATTCTTAAGGAACTGAACACACTATATACATACTGCCATACAAAGAGCATGAAAATAGGACCAAAAACTTCTACAAAATATAAAACCCACCCTTATTTGCATGAAAATACCACCCATAAAGCTAAATAAGTCTTGAAAGCTATCTGGAGGCTATAAGTGTTGTTTTCAAACCAAGTACTCTAGTTTTGATTGCACAATAAGACGACTGATAAGAAAATCAATATATAGGTTCCACTTGAAAAATAAGCATTTTATAATCTGGCATATTATTCAATGAAAATCCTTGGGACTAGAACAGGGCATTCAATCTTCAAAATCAGAAGAAACGTGATGATCTTTTGGAGATTCCAATCCCCTCGCTAAACTTCTCCCAAGTGTTTTACTTCAGTCAGTTGTACAACTTTTTTGGTTTCTCCACAAATAACTTTATAATTCTTAATTCAAAAATGCCAAGTCATACATTTTAAATTTAAAAAGCAGCAACAACACTATAATCAGTCATTTAAATGTATCCCGGTGTAGAAGCATAACTTCAATTAATTTGCTGATACTAACTTTTAAAAACTTACAAATATTCAAAACAAAGGGAAAAAATTTTTGATAGTCAAGATTAAAAAAGCAATAGGCTTTGCCGGGCTCAGTGGCTCAGCCTGTAATCCCGTGCTTTGGGAGGCTGAGGTGAGTGGATTGCCTGAGCCCACAGGTTCGAGACCCGCCTGGGCAACTTGGCGAGACCTCGTGCCTACAATAAATCAAAAATTAGCCAGGCTTGGCAGTGCGCGCCCGTAGTTCCAGCTACTTGGAAGGCTGAGGCGGAAGCATCATCGGAGCCCAGCAGGTCAAGGCTGCGGTGGCTGGGAGCGGCCACTGCACTCCAGTCTGGGCAACAGAGTGAGACTCCAACTCAAAAAAAAAAAAAAAGCAATAGCTTGAACGTGGAGCCTCCATAGCAAAAAAGGGAGATGTACTTTTCTACTCGTTATACTTTATTTAGTAGCCATATAAGGAAACACACACTCACTTCTCTCAAATATTTTTCTCTTTTTCTTTTTTTTTTTTTGAGTTGGAGTCTCACTCTGTTGCCCAGACTGGAGTACAGTGCCATGCTCCTGGCCACCGCAGCCTCGACCTGCTGGGCTCCAGCGATCCTTCTGCCTCTGCCTTCCAAGTAGCTGGAACAACAGGCGGGCACTATCACACCCGGCTAATTTTTGATTTATTGTAGAGATGAGGTCTCACCAAATTCGCCCAGGTGGGTCTCGAACCCGCAGACTCAGGCAATCCACTCACCTCGGCCTCCCAAAGCGCGGGATTACAGGCTGAGCCACCGAGCCCTGCCTATTTTTCTATTTTTAATGGGCATCCACTTGAAAATAAAATCTTAATTTTAGTATTGATTTAGTTTCAAATATTTTTCCAGCTGCCAAGTATGTTCCAATTAAATGCTAAAGCTGATAATGTTTTAAAACAATGGGAATCATTAAAGGTTCTATTCAGAAAAATGAGAAATACACTGCAGAATGGTATCCAAATCATTTGAGAAGCCAACTTAAACTTAAAACTTTGACTTCCATGTCTTACTAATTATCGACAGGCAATTGTTTTGACTTTTGAGGAATACTAAAGCTGCTTCCTAAAGCCTCACGCCTTTCTTTGCCCTAATAATGCAGTCTTAGATGCCATCAACCAAGAAAGACTTACAGTCAGTAGACCTTGTTGCATACAACTGTATTGATTATATATTCGTATCTCAGTAAATACTCAATTTCTTTCACTTATTTAAAACCCAGACAGGTCAGAAAAGGTGGCTGAGGTATAAGACTAAAGGTTTTCCTGGGTATCCACAAGTATCCCAGCTCTTTTGAGATACAGGGAGGGGAATGAAACAGGACGTGAAGGTAATCACAAAGGAATTGCTAAGAGGACAAAAAATGCACACCTGAAAACAAAACAAAATGAACAACTGTTGGTGTGTCATGATCTGCAGCCTGGAGAAAGGGCTCACCTGCATGTCTCTGCACTTCGTATAAGCAAATTTTCCTTCAAAAAGAAAATTGTATCAGTATCCACAAAATCTGTGAACTATACTACTGTAATAGAATCTCAGCAAAACTACACAAACTACATTGCTGAACAGAAACTCCACACAGACCAGGACATCTATTGCTGAATAGAACCTTTACCACTCTGCTTCTACTCTCCAAGTCACTCATGTTGACAAAAAAAGCACCCACTCTTAGCCAAAAAAAGTCATTCTCTTCAAACTAAAGCTCTCTGGATCACCTCTAAAAAAATAACCAACTTATCATTCAAGAGAATATCATTCAACTGAATTACAGCTGATTGCAATTTCAGTTCATTTATAAATAACTTTAAAACCTTATGAATGAAATGCACCATACTACACCTGTGTAAAAGTGATCGTGTTTTAATTATGGGCTAAAAATGACAAATACATTGAGCTTGAATTAGAAAAATTAAGAGTCTAAATAAATTGCTAAGGAATTTCACAATGGGGGGTGTCAATGAAAATTTTCTCTACATACAATATGATCATTAACAGACTAGTAATTCTTATTTGGAATGATAAGGCAAAAATAGTAAAACCACACTTTTCCTATAAAAAGTTACACATTATCTTCTGTAGGGATAGCTATCGTACATGAAGAAACAAAGATGTGATCACTCTATTGCACACCCAGGAACAGCAGGGAATCTGGTCTTAGAATGATCTAGTCATCTTCCTCTTCTCCATCATCTTCAGCATCTCGTTTCCTCTTCTCTCCTCGAAGACCTTCTTCTTCTGAAAGAGTAGAAGGAAAAGTGTAAAATGTTTAATGTAACAAATGAATATTTGTTAAGTTACAAAGTTTCGTATCTTAGTGAAAAGTTAATGGCAGAAGAAAAGTATCTGTTAGTTTCCTCCCTGAATTTCCCTTAATTTCAATGTATTGAACAGACTTAGAAATCCATAAATAATGACAAATTGCTATGCACCCTTGTGGCCAAATCATGAAGTACAGATCAAGAAACTAAGAGCTTGACACCAATGGAATCGTTAGTAAATTTTAAAAATTGTTTTGAAAGATTTAGATAAAGAGCACCAGAGAAGACCAAGTGAGGTGGCTCAAGCCTGTAATCCTAGCACTTGGGAGGCAGACGAGAGAGGATTGCCTAAGCCCACGGGTTCAAGACCAACCTGGGCAACTTGATGAGACCACATCTCTACAATAAATCAAAAAATTAGCCAAGCATAGTGGTGAATGCCTATCATTCCAGCTACTTAGAAGGCTGAAGAGGAAGGATCACCTGAGCCCAGCAGGTCGAGGCTATGGTGGTCATGAGCATGCCACTGCACTCTAACCTGGGAGTGAGACTCCAACTCAAAAAAAAAAAAGAGTACCAGAGAGCAAATCCACACAGGGCATTATCTGGAGTTCAGCTGCCGCTCTCCCATGGATAAGGCTTCACCTGCTCCAAAATGAGAAAGAGCATTTAAAAATAATAAGTTGAGCTCAAGCTTCCATTAGTTTTTCATTCCTTTTTTAAAATAAATGTCATAAGCTGTTTATTTTTTAATGGAATTGATGAATGCCCTGAGACAATTACTCTTTTAAAAAACATTTATTCCTTTCAAGGCACTCTGATAAACAAAGCAAAATCAAAGGGATCAGTAAAAAGTTGCATTATAGAGTCACTTTAGTCTATGAAAAATAACTGTGGCTTTCATTTTAGAATTTGCTTATCACTAGTGTAACTCACCTTCTTCTTCCTCTTCTTCTCCTTCTTCAACATAGTCATCATCATCTTCTTCATCCTTGAAATTCAAATATTCAGTTTGAGAATTTAAAAATCACATCAGATTTTTCACTGTTTGTTGTAACATATTCCAACAAGAGCAAAGAAACTATGGTTGGTCTGTGTCTGACAACCTCTGCCTACCTTATACAGGTCCTTTTTAAAATCCAATTAAATCTCCAGTTCAAGAAAACTTTTGGCAAAGATGGAAATGTCCTATGTCTCTGTCATGCAACACAGTAACCACCAGCTACACATGACTACTGAGCATTTGAAATGTAATCAGTGCAAATAAGAAACTGAATTTTTAATTTTAATTAATTAAAATAACCACGTAAGTCTTACTGGCTGCCATAATGGACAGGGAAACTTTTGACTGTTTTAAAAACAGGGTCTTCTATTTTGCAGACTGAGGTAGTAATATCTGAATCCTAGCTCCCATTTATTTATATGTGTTGAATAAGTCACTTTATTTGTCTGGACCTTAGTTTTCCAATGAATAAAAATAAAGCATTCGTCTAGAAAGAACTACAAGTTCCTTCTGTATCTGAAAATCTACACAACAAAATAGCAAATGTCAATAAAAGTCAAAATAAAACTTGGTCTACAACTCTTGTAGAATGAGTTGTTCTAGATAGCTAAGATTTAAGCATTGCCTTGAAGCACTTGAAACCATTTTTTGTTAACTCTAGCCACCTGAAATACACACCTCTAGAGTGCATTGTATATTCTTCAACCATCTATGCTGAACCTAACTTAGACCTTTTTTCTGAATAGTAATGGTCATCATGTTTTTATGGCTACCGTTTTGATCTTGAACATTCTACCCATCAGTACATGCCAATTCCCTCAGAGCCTGTGATTCTATGCAGGGTAGTTTTCTCCTTTTTAAAAAGACTGTGGCCACTGTCAACTGAAACATTCTAAAGCATCTCCATACCAGAATACCAGCAAGTTACAAGGAGCAGAAGGAACAGATGGGGTAGCAAATAGCAGAGAAAAACCACAATAAAAATCAGAAAAAAAACTACAGACTTAAGCTGAAGAAGAAGGAAGAAAGATGTGGAGAGAGCAGAGCAGGAGAAGAAAAGGGGAGGAGACATTTTAAACATCTCAAATGTGCAAGGAATAATAAAAGAGGACATTTAAATATTTATAACCATAAAAAACACTTTAGATATCAATCATATTTATTACTTGAAAATTTAGAAAAGCCCAAGTCTAAAAAGTGAATTACTTCTCTGGAGCGCTCAATCTTGTTTTAAGCAAACATGATTAGATTAATGTTTTTTTGTTCTTTTTTTTTAAGAAAAAGTATCATTTATTAGATAATATCTCTCAATTAAAACTCAGCTTTTATCAGAAACTTGCTCAGTAGAGACTATGGTCTTCACCTTATTAGGAGAAAATCAAATGTTTCCTCATCTGTGAGTAGTGCAAGGGCACCAGAATTCCCAATCCTCCTAAAGCCTCGACCTCCTCTTTTTTGTGTGTGTGTTTTTTTTTAATTAAAGAGACAAGGTCTTGCTCTGTCACCCAGGCTGGAATACAGTGGCATCATGATAGCTCACTATAAACTCATACTCCTGGCCTCAAGCAATCCTCCCACCTCAACTTCCCAAAGCACTAGGATCACAGGCGTGGGCCACTGTGCCCAGTCCCAACTACCATTTTTAATGAAATATACTACACATACATAAAGTCCTTTATACATATTAATTCCTTGCCTCAGAAGAACACCTGAAATAGTAAGAAATAAAGATGCAAATAAAAAATAGCTTATCAAATATGTTTTCTATTTTCTTCTCATTTCTTTTTAAATCTCAATAGTCTCTGAAGTCCTGGGTCTTAGCTTCTAAAAACAAGACTCCATTTTAAACGTCCAAATTATCTTATTGTGAATCAAAACTCCTTCTGTTGCCTGCTAGCCACACAATGACTTAATGCTGTATCTTAGAAGCTTTTGCTCTATACTTGACCATGTCATTTTGGTTAATATTTCCCAATACTCAATGGAATGGTAAACCTAAACAATTTGCAGTTAGCTGGATCACTTAATACTACTTAGACTTAGGGAGGAATAGAGAAAATAAAGGCCAAATACAAAAAAAACCAAGTCCATTACTTTACCAAATAAATAAAAACGTAGGGGAGAAATGTTCACACTGTATGCTAGTATAAACTAAACAGGTTGGCTTTCCCTATGAATCTTTACAACCCTTAAAGTTCTGTTCTTCATTATCATATGGCTTCAAACCTTCTAACTCACAAAAGACCCAAACAAGTTAAGTCCTATTTTTTCCACACTGATTTCTTTTTTCTTTTTTTCCCCCTTGAGTCAAGGTCTCTCACTCTGTTGCCCAGGCTGGAGCACAGTGACACCATCATGGCTCACTGCAGCCTCCAACTCCTGGACTCAGGCTATCCTCCTGCATCAGCCTCTCAAGTAGCTGGGATTACAGGCACACACCACTACATTCAATTAATTTTTTTTTTGTACAGACAAGGTCTTCTAATGTTGTCCAGGCAAATCTCAAACTCCTGGACTCAAGCAATCCTCTTGCCTAAGCCTCCCAAAAGTGCTGGGATTACAGGCATGAGCCACCATGTCTGGCTTTCATATTTAAGTGGTATCAGAAAGAAATTTTCATTAATCAGTGATACTATCTATTTTACCAATGTAAAAGTCATTAGAACAAATAAAAGTACTAACACTATCCAGCCTAAATAAGAGATGTTATTTTTAGCAATGAAAAGTATTTTAAGTTATGATTAAGAAAATAAAACTCAACGTTAGCAGAAAATAACTAACCTAAATTCCCAGGGACTAAATATCATATGTTCTAGTCAACGACATTTCGCATGAGTTTCCTATGTGCCGGTCAATGTATTAGATGCTGAGATACAAAGATGCATGGCTTCTCCCCTGAAGGAGCTCACCACCCAATAAAAGTGGTCCAATAAGTTTTTACAAGTATCTATAGGCAACAGAAGCCTGACCAAGCTTCCAAGGTAACAGATGAAGGAATGATTGCCTAAGGAAAAAAAGAGAAAGCTTCAATAATGAGGCAACTTCCAGGGCCGAATTTGTAAAGATAAGAATTCATAACTGGGCATGGTGGCTCTCGCATGTAATTCCAGCACTTTGGGAGATGGAGGAGAGAGGATTGCCTGAGCCCAGGAGTTTGAGACCAGCAAGACCAGGGGTGAGACCTTGTTTCTATAATTAAAAAAAAAAAAAAAAATTAGGTGAGCGTGGTGGCACAGGCCTGTAGTTCCAGCCTCTTGGAAAGCTGAGGCGGAAGGATCCCCTGAGCCCAGCAGGTCGAGAGGCTGCAGTAGCTGTGAGCTTGCCATTACACTCCTGCCTGGGTGACAGAGTGAGACTCTGACTTAAAAAAAAAAAAAAGAATTCACAAGGCATGATTTGGATGGTGGTTATACAAGTATATGCAAATGTAAAATTTCATGGAGCTGTATGTAAAATTAGTTCACTTTACATGCTTCACGATATTTATGTTTGCCTCAGCAAAAAATAAAATAAAGTTCATCAGAGAACACAGAAGGTCATTTCAGATTGAGTGAACAACATATACACAGACATAAAGGCAAGAAGCTGCTTGGTGTGATGATTTAATTTGGTATTGAGGGAGGTGAGGCTAGAAAAGGAAGCAGGAGCCAGATAATGAAGGGCCTTGTAAGTCTGGCAGGCAACAGGAAAACATTCAAGGGTTTCAAGAAGCTAGTGATGAGGACCACATCTGCATGAGACTAGCCAGGCCACACTGAGGAGACTGTTCCTAAGTGGTGATGCTGTATTCAGAGAGACCATTTAGAAAGCTCCTGCACAGGTAAAGTATAAGCAAGACTGGGCACGATGGCTCTCACCTGTAAGCCCAGCACTCTGGGAGACTGAGGTAGGAGGATTGTTTGAAGCTGGGAATTAAAGACTAACCTGGGTAACATAGCAAAACCCCACCTCTATTTTTTAAAGTTAATTTTTAAGAAAAAAAAAAAGTATAAGCAAGAGATAATTAGGGGGAAAATTTTTAAGTTTTCCTGAGTGACAGGGACTACTTACTTTACATATATTATCTTGTTAAACATGCTGGGTGTGGTGGCTCATGCCTGTAATCCCAGCACTTTGGGAGGCAGAGGCGAGGGGACTGCCTGAGTCCAGGGGTTCGAGACCAGCCTGGGCAACTTGGTGAAACCTCATCTCTATAATAAATCAAAAAATTAGCTGGGTGTGGTGGCACACACCTGTAGCTCCAGCTACTTAGAAGGCTGAGGTGGAAGGATTGCCTGAGTCCAGCAGGTGGAGGCTGTGGTGGCCATGAGCATGCCACCACACTCCAGTCTGGGTGACAGTGAGACTCCGACTCAATAAATCAATCAATAAAATAAATCCTGAAAACAATCCTAAGAGGTTGGTTTAGTCTCTGTTTTATAAGTGCAGAAACTCACCTGACATGTGGCTCACGCCTGTAATCCCAGCATTTTGGGAGATGGAGGTGAGAGGATTGCCTTAGTCCAGAGGTTCAAGACCAGGCTAGGCAACTTGGCGAGACCTTAAAGTCTCTACAATATTAAATCTCTACAATAAATAAAAAAATTAGCCAAGCATGGTGGCACATGCCTGTATTTCCAGCTACTTAAAGGCTGAGGCAGAAGGATTGCCTGAGCCCAGCGGACCGAGGCTACGGTGGCCATCAGTGTGCTACTGAACTCCAGTCTGGGTGACAGTGAGACTGTGACTCAAAAAATCAAAATAAAAAAAATGAACGCAGAAACTGAGGCTCAGAGACGTTTGTAAAATGGTTCCACCTTACCATGCCATGGGGGCAGATGGATTTGAAGGATATCTGGGAGGTAAAATCAATAGTTGCTTATGATTATCTGGATATAGTATGGGATGGGGGACAATGAAAAAAAAGATAAGCAGACAGATATATGCACACCCACAAGTTAGAAATAACTCAGGTTTCTACAAACACACTTTTTTTTTTGAGTCAGGGTTTCACTCTGTCACTGGGCTGGAGTACAGTGGCATGCTCATGGCTACCATAGCCTCAACCTGCTGAGCTCAGGTGATGCTTCCACCTCAGCCTTCCAAGTAGCTGGAACCAAGGGTGTGTAGCACCATACCCAGATAATTTTTTTATTATAGAGACAAGGTCTCACCATGTTGCCCAGGCAGGTCTCAAACTCACGGGCTCAGACAATCCTCTTGCCTCTGCCTCCCAAAGCGTTGGGATTATAGATGTGAGCCACTGCGCCTGGCTCAAAACACTTTTTTTGTTTTTGAGTTGGAGTCTCACTCCGTCGCCCAGGCTGGAGTGCAGTGGCACACTCACAGCCACCCCAGTGTCGACCTGCTGGGCTCCTGCGATTCTTTTGCCTCGGCCTTCCAAGTAGCCGGAACTACAGGCGTGTGCTACCACACCTGGCTAGTTTTTGATTGATTGTAGAGACAAGGTCTCACCAAGGTGCCCGGGCTGGTCTCGAACCCGTGGACTCAGGCAATTCTCTCGCCTTCACCTCCCAAAGCGCTGGGATTTTAGACATGAGCCACCACGCCTGGCTCAAACACACTTTTTATGGTACTTAGCCCTGTGCCTAAATTCTTTCCATACAGGTGAGAAGGGTCTGGTCACCTGGATTTCTTCTTTCATCAAGTAGGAAAGGCCCACTTCCTCTTCTGCCTCTCCCAGTTCTGAGCCTGCCTCGTCTTCATCCTCCTCCTCCTCTTCCTCCTCCTCCTCTTCTTCGTATCCTTCAGGTGGACCGGCTTCATCTTCATCTTCATCTTCATCATCTTCATCCCCATCTTTAAAAGATGAACAAATGGCTGGGCAGATGTTTCTTGCTAGCGTGAGGGTTCTTTTCACCCCTGCCCAACCACTTCAAGCTCTTAAGCCAATGGGTAGAGAGTATCTCACCGTGACCTTTTTTTTTTTAAGATTTGTCTCACAACATTCAAATTTTCCACTTGACAAGTAGTTTCTAAATACTGGTACTTATCCAGTACATACATGTTCATCAAAACATTATATTGACTAAAGTTTGCTTTACTTTGTGAGCACTTCAATACCTGCTTGTCTATTATTGTCATTTTATGTCATTGTTTATCTATCAAATTTCTTTTTATAGTGAAAAACCTATCGCCCCTAAATAACAACCAGGTATGCTATCATCTGATCTGTTAGTCATCCATTTATCTAAAAATGTATATTCACTATTTAATTCCAGAATACTTTTCATCACCTCAAAAAGAAACCCCATGCCCATGAGCAGTCACGCCCTCATTCTCCTCTCTCACCAGTCCCTGGAAACCAATAATATACTTTCTGTCTCTGGATTTGCCTATTCTGGACGTTTCATATAAATGAAATCAAACAATATATGATCTTTTGCATCTGACTTCTTTCACTTAACAGAACACGTTCAAGGTTCATTCATATAGCATGTATCAGTACTTCATTTTTATTGTTTTTTGTTTTGTTTTTGAGTTGGAGTCTCACTCGGTCGCCCAGACTGGAGTGCAGTGGCCGCTCCCGGCCACCACAGCCTCGACCTGCTGGGCTCCAGCGATCCTTCCACCTCAGCCTTCCAAGTAGCTGGAACTACAGGCATGCGCTACCACGCTCGGCTAATTTTTATTTTTGATTTATTGTAGAGATGAGGTCTCGCCAAGTTGCCCAGGCGGGTCTTGAACCCGCGGGCTCAGGCAATCCACTCACCTCAGCCTCCCAAAGGTGCAGGATTACAGGCTGAGCCACCGAGCCCGGCCAGTACTTCATTTTTATGGTGGAATATTACACTGTATAGATAAATCACATTTTAAAAATCCATTCATCAACTGATAGACACAAGTTGTTTCTACTTTTTGGTTATTAAGAATGGTTCTAGCCGGGCTCGGTGGCTCAGCCTGTAATCCCGCGCCTTTGGGAGGCTGAGGTG